GCTCAGTGCAGCTTGACCTCACACCATTCTTTCTGTGGCACAATGACTCATTCTGCAGTGAAAAGGAATGAATTCCTCCTTGAATCATCAGCAGCAAAACTTTGTAGGTTTTGTTTTTCATAGCCAGCACGTCGACTCATCTCACCTTGTCTGAGAAGTGACGTCAAAGCACACACATTTGGGGTAACTTAGGGCTGGAATGTGACCTGCAGCATGTGTGCTATACCCTGGGCTTCCACCTCTGAGGCACCCGAGCAAGGCAGGGGAGCATGGAGATGCCTGGAGATGAGAAGGCTGAGGGGAGACCTTATAGCACTCTTCCAGTAACTAAAAGGGGCTACAAGAACCTTGGAGAGGGGCTTTGGACAAGGGCCTGTAGGGCAGGCCAAAGGGAATGGCTTTAATCTGCCAGAGTGGAGACTGAGGTGAGCTCTTAGGCAGAAGCTCTTCCCTGTGAAGGTGCTGAGGCGCTGGCACAGGGTGCCCAGAGAAGCTGTGGCTGCCCCATCCCTGGCAGTGTTCAAGGCCAGGTTGGACACAGAGGCTTGGAGCAAGCTGCTCTAGTGGAAGGTGTCCCTGCCCGATTGGAACTGAATGAGCTTTAAGGTCCCTTCAACCCAAACCATTCCATGATTCTATGTGCTCAGAGCTCACCCCATCCACCCCCCTGCTCTTGAGACAGGACCAGCTCCAGGGGCTGCACCCTGCAGATGGACACAAGGCACAGCTGGTTACTGGTGGCTGCTAAAACCTCCCTCTGCCTTGTCAGTGCCAGCCACCAGCGTGGCACAACCGCCAGCCTGAGCTCCTGGCCCCAGCCAGGCCCCTTGCCCCACGGCTATTTCAAGTCACTGCGTTTGGGGCTGGCAGTGTGGGACAATCTGAAAGTGCCCTGACTCATCTCACCCCACCAGCTGCAAACCGCAGCGTGATCCTTGGCCAGCGGCACGTGTGCCAGGGTGCTCTGTGCCACGGGGGATTGATCCCTCCCGGGCCTTTCTTATTATTGTTCTTCCCAGCAAGGTTGATGGGGGCTGATGACACTGGTAGGTGATGCGCTGCAGCATCAGTGCCTGCTCCAGCCCGGGTGGACAAACCTCACTGGGGAGGTGGGCACTCAGGGCAGTTGCAGTTAGGAAACTGAGAGAAGTCCCTCCAGGCTTTCAAACCCCATTCTGCAGCTCCATCCTCTCTGGAAATACAATTGCAGTGTTGCTGTAAATGTGCCTTTTCATTTCTGTAGCAAGGCTGAGGTGGCACAGCTAATTCCCCATCCTGCCCTCAAAGGGCTGTGCTGGGAGGGATGAGATAAAGCTGTCCTCAGAGCCCTTTCCAGTCCCTCCACAGCTACTGAAGGACAGCAGATGACTTGGGGTGACTTGAGGTTGGAGCCATGATGCTGGGCACCATGTTAATCTGGGGATGTGGGTAGTGAGCAGCTCTGTCACCGCTGCTCTGAGCTGTATTAAAACACAGCTTTGGGGAAGAGGTACAAGAAGATGCTTTACCAAACCACAGCATATCCCCATGGTGTCCCAGCAGCACCACCCCACATCCTCCCAGGGGACCTGCTGAGAGGACACTAAACCAATGCCCTCAAGTTAAATCAGTCCACTCAGCAGAAAACACATCAGGTTATCTTGATGGCAGAAGACATTGTCAGCTGGTAGCTTCTGGCTTTGAAAAGCCTCTTCAAAGTTCATGTGCTGCAGGAATTAAATCTAGACCTTGTGAAAGAAGAGGAATTGAGTCCATTTCCCTGCCATGCAGATCTCTGTTAATGTGGTAGGATTTAACAGCAAAGACACGTGTGGCAGCAACAGCACATCTGGAGCCAGCCAGGAGATGCAGACGTGGCTGTGGACCACAACCATTAGCAGTTGTGTTTAAAGCAGGGATCAACACTGAAGGAGTTTCCTCTGTTTCTCCAGATCTTTGTGCAACGTTTCCTTTTTCCTTGGTTGGTTCAAGTGGGAGATGGATTCCTGTAACAAACTCCCTAATGGAGGAATTGGGAAGGGGATGAATAGCCGCCTGCAGAAGTTTTTGTCTTTCCTCCTTCCTAAGCATCCTTCCCCAACAGCTTTTTATGCCTTTAAAAGAGTAGGAGAAAATGAGCAAGGCAAGAGTAAATGTAAAAGGGACATGGGAAAGGGCAGCTCTTCTTACTGGTGCAACATCTTGTTTCCCACCTGAACTGATGGGAAATCCAAGCAACTGAGCTGCAGTCTATTGTACTGCCAAGTTAACAACCTTCTGCTTCGATGGAGAAGGAGGACAGGCCATGCCTTTGCTGTAACCACACATGCTCTGTGCTTTTCACTGTTGAGGTATCCTGTGGATCGGTATCAGGACTGTTCAGCTGCCTTTGTAGTGGTCTGTGTCTTCTGTCATTGCTCCAGAAGTTGTTACCAGTCATCAGACAGCGAGGCTGGTGGCTGGTGCTGTGCATTGGATCAGGCATGGTGCAAATGAGGAGGAAAGATCTGCCCCACTTTGAAATGCTTAAGCCAAGGTTTTCAAAGCAGCTTAGCATGGAGCTCATTCTGCTCCAGTGCCACGGTACAATGTACACATAGAACTGCATATCCCTAATCTAGGCTTTCTGGCTCTTAAATAGGCTAAACCATGGCTACTTTTAGGAATATCACTGAAAAGCTCTTCTTCATCTCATTTCTTGGGCAAGAATAGTAAAAGCTCAAAGCTACAAACGTATATTTAACTAAGCAGGAGCCAACCCAGAGCCACTCTTGATGGAAAACCCACATAGCTGTGGCCCTGCTGCAGGACTGTACCACCCCAGTTTGTGCTGGGAGGGGAATCACATTCCCAGTATCCTGCTGTATGCTGTAAATCTACACCTGGTAAGCATCAGGGATTAGGGTTTTCACTCATTCTTGAATGCAAACCTTCATGCCTCTTGGTTTTTATTTGCATGAGCAGCCTTTGTGGGATAGACAGATGTAAAGCAGCATCTCCATTGGTCTGTTTTCCTTTCCGCTTCATGGGTTTCCTCCTTGGAGTAGGGATGCAAAACACAGGACTTGCCCAGGGCTCTTGGGCTGCTGTGCAAGCAACTCAGAGCAGCAAGGAGAGGTCCAGGACAGGTCCTCCAGAGCCATCAGCTCTGGCCGCTCCACCTCCACCAAAGCCAACTGGCATTGTGTGCTCACTGTGCCTGAGCAGAATCATTACCAAAGTGAAAGGCACCCCTGAATCAAGCCCAGAGATCACAGAACCACTTGCCACTGGTCTCCACTTGGACACGGAGCTGCTCACTGCAGGTCTCTGAGTGCAGTCATCCAGCCAATTCCATATCCACTGAGTGGTCCATCCGTCATATCCATGTCTCTCCAGTTTAGAGACAAGGATGTTATGCGGGACAGTGTCAAACACTTTGCACAAGTTCAGGTAGATCATAGAATGGTTTGGGTTGGATGTCACCAATCAATCACATCCTTAGTTTCCATGTGCTACAGCTTCTCAGATACGATGGACAGCAGCTTAGCAAATGCATCCACCAGTTCCCTCAGGACCCACGGATACATCTTGTCATGTCCCATGGACTTGTGCACCTCAGGTTCTTTAGATGTTCTCAAACATGGTCTTCTCTTAGAGAGGGGCTGTTCTCCATTCTCCCAGTCCCTGCCTTTGCCTTCTGTAACTTGAGCAGTGTGGCTGGAACTCTTGCTGGGGAAGACTGAGGCAGAAAGGTCACTGAGTAACTCAGCCTTCTCTGGGGTAACTAGGCCTCTCATTTCCTTCTAGAGAGGGCCTGCATTTTCCTCAGTCGTCCTTTTATAGATCATAAATGACTTGCCAAAGGTCACACAGCACATCATCTGTAGATGTCCTGGTGGGACACAAGAAGTCAGGCCAGCAATACCCGCAGGCCCTGCAGAGCTGTCGTGCCTGGTCCGTGCTCATTTTCTCCCCATTTTGGGGTGCTGTCGGTCCTGTTTCTCTTTCTGGATGTATCTGGGACAAATTCTAACATTCCACCACCAAGGCAAAGCCAGTTTGAGTTTAAAGGCAACCATGGGCGAAACCGGGCATGTAGGAAGCAGCTTGAGACGCTGGAGGCGAGGAGGCTGGCAGAGGCAGCAGTGTGAGTGTGTGCATGTGTGTGTGTTTTCCTTACAGCTCTGTTGAACAGTTCCCCCCTCTGCTCCAACACACAGGAATACTCCCCATTGTGTTCACCAAAAAGCACCTTTTACAATGATGTTGGGTTCCAATGGCCTCACCGTGTGTAATCAGGAGTAGCTACAAGGGGGTTTGTTGCATCCCCAACACTGCTTCAGCTCCCTCCAGTCCTCCTCCCAGAGCTTGGACCTATGGGGATTTCATCCCAAGGGTGACCATGTCCCATTCTCAAAGGCATTGCCCTCAGCGTGGCGCTCCCAGTCCCGCTTAGGAAAGCCCAAGCATGGCTTTCAGAGTGAATGTGCAGGATGTGAAAGTCCAGATTTAGACCCCATGGTAGCACAAGGACAAAAAAAAGAGCAGTGCACAGCACTGGTGTAAAGCTGTTGTAAGTTACTACCCAATTGGTATTATGGGGTTGTCCAGAGAAGCTGTGGCTGCCCCATCCCTGGCAGTGTTCAAGGCCAAGTTGGATACAGGGGCTTGGAGCAAGCTGCTCTAATGGAAGGTGTCCCTGCCAGTGGCAGGGGTTGGAACTGGATGAGCTTTAAGGTCCCTTCCAACCCAAGCCATTCCATAATTCTATGATTCTATGATTGGAGCTGGTTTCCCCCTGCCCAAGCAGTTGTGTTCAGCTGCTGTCATTGCTTCATTTATGGGTTTTTCTTGCAGGAAGCTATAGTGTTTATTTAGGTGGGCAAGAGCATTCATTCTCTGCCTTGTCCTGGAGAGTCACTGGGGACTTAGGATAATTCCCAGCCTCACTTGTAACAACAGGACTGCAAAGGGTTCTGTCCCTCCTTGCTCACGGAGCCTGACAGCTTCTGAGCCCTCTCCCTCCTTGTGTCTTGCAGTCCAACAAGGTTCCTGTTGTGCAGCCATCGCACGGCGTCCACCCGCTCACCCCGCTCATCCCTTACAGCAACGACCATTTCAGCCACGGCTCCCACTCGCCCCACTTGCCCGCTGACATCAACCAGAAGCAAGGTAATGGCACCACTGGGGACCTGCATGATGGGAGGGGGGACAGTGCTGGGGACCACTGAGACCAAGGCTGTCACCATCCTGCTCCCAAATCAATGGGAGAAGAGAAGAGCTTTGGTGAGCTGGGGCAGTGCTCAGCAATAGTTTATTTAGCTCATTGGTAATGCTTTGTAATCGTGGTCAGGAGGAGTTTGACATCAGAAACCCCAACCCTGCTGATCAAATGTGCTCAGTTCTCTGTGCAAGCTGTCCTGTAGCCTGGGACCAGACCAGAGCCTGCAAGGTGATGTGTAAGAGTCAACCAGAAAATGGAAAGTAATCTTTCCTTTGACTCATACCCAAACTGTTGTCAGGTTGTCATTTTGAGAAAATAAATGCTTGAAACAGGAAATATTTTGACTAAATAGGATGGGTGTCTGATAGCTGCCTGGATTGTTACATGTGTGTGTCTGTAGCCACACGTTATGTGGTTGTCACACAGTTTGGCTCTTTGGGTTCCTGTGCGAGTGCAGGACACGTCAATTGGCTCGTGAGGCTGCAAAGGAAAGTACAGTAGGTCGAGGTTAATTCACTGTGAATTATAGGTATGTGCACAGGAATCCACCCCAGCCCATTGTTCTTCGTGGGTTACTGGCAAGCTGAGTGTAAAATCAAACCTTACATTACAATCAAACATCTCAACCTTACATTAGTGCAACAGGATCTTTCAACATCTGTTCAGATTACCCAGGTTTCTGCACAAACTCGGTCTTGATTTCATGTGAAAGCAAGTGAATTCATGGGTTTGTGTCAGACTACATTCAGGAAGGGATTCAGGGTCCATCACAGCCCAGAAATCAGTGTGAAAACAGAGGCATAAAGTGAACAGCTGTGATCTGGGCAAAGGCAAAGGTTTGGATCCAAACTATCCCAGAGATAATCAGCTTCAGTGAGTTAATATCACTGATAAAAGAGTGGGGATTGAGGATGCTCCTGGCTGGAGGACAGGCTGAATTATCCCTGGTCTGAATGCAGAGGTCATGTCCTGGACTTGTCAGGGATGCTGATGGGGAGGATTTAGGTCCAGTGTAAGAGATACCCAGGTACATCCTGGTTTTCTTTCCAGTCTCCCCTTTCCTGTTTACCCTGTACATTTACAGGGGCGGGGGGAGTCTGTCCATCCCAGAGACATCCCCAGTCCTGTTTGTGAAGAGGTTCAGACAATTGTCCTCAGCTGGGACCTGTCTCTGGGGTGCAGCTTGCTAACTTTGCATGCCCCATCCCTGCACTGCTGGGTTGAAGGTTTCCTTCCCCACTCATCCTGAATGTGTCCCATCCCTGAAATACCCCCCATTATCAGCCAGTGCAAGCACTTGCGAGTCACCATCTACTCATTCTCACAGCATCCCTTTAAAGTACTTCACAGTAGCCCAAGGACACGCAGACAAGGAAGTACAAGCAGGATCTTCTGAGTCAGTGGCTGGTGCCCAGCCACTGGGCTAGCGAGAAGAACTGGTGCTCTGGCTCACACAACTTGTTGGAGGTGCAAATACCAGGAAATCTTGGCAGCTGCCTAATGTGGAGGCTGGATTTGTCTGACCTTCAGTGGGCTGCTGCATCCCACTTAAGCACAGCTGTACATAAATCTCATGCTATTCATCTTCCTTTCAATTTGATTATGTATTTATTTTAGTTGCCTCCTAATAAGATGCTTGGAATCTGCTGGTGTCATTCCTAAATCATAATTTATCATTAATACACCCAGGAGAATAATCCAGGCTTAAACTGCTTGCAGCTACTCACCCATTTATCCAGTGCATTTATTGCTCAGGACAGCTGCTGGACAATCTCTGTACATGATATTTGCTCAGAGGCTCTGTAGCTGCCAGCATTACAGGATGCTGCACAAGAGCTCAGCTCCAGTTTCCAGTCTGGTGCTTATCTGGAGGCTCCTTTGCTGGTTGTCTGAGTCCCACCCGCAGCCCCCAGGCTGTTTTCAAGTCCAAATAGGAGCTGTGGCTGTCTCCTCTGGCCATGCCACCCGTGCCAGCAGCTTTGAAGATCACACAGGGATTCCCCGTGTGAAGGGTGAATTCCCAGTTGGCACCGTACCCACCTCCACTCTTCCTTGGCACCCACAGAGCTCGTGAAATGATTGCTTTGAGCAAGGACTTATGGTATAGAATCGAGATAGCAGAGGCGCTGCTGGAGCATCCCCACTGGCCACTCCTAGGGGGTCCTAGGGATGACTGATGGGAAGGAAGGTGATGACTGAAAGGGGTGTAGGAATGGCTTTGACCATCAGTTATGCCCCTGAAGAGGCAGTCTGGAAGGGCACGGGGATGTCTGGAGTCCATCAGATCCTTACCAAAGCAAGCTGCTGCTTGGCTTCAGGGTGGCCCGGAGCAGGGATGCTGCTTGTGCAGGAGCAGACCTGCCTTCTCCATCACATTATGAGTGTTTGTGATTCTGCAGCAACACGGCTGACCCAGCACATCCCCCCAGAGAGAACCACAGCAATAAAAAGGGCAATTACAATATCCTGCTGCTTGCAGACACCTATTTCACATGCATTCCCTGCTGCCCACGAGTGCCCGTAGATGGAGCAGTCAGGGGGTCAGGAGCCGTTTGGGTCAGCTGGGGTGCATGGTGCTGGGTCCAACTCACCTCCTTTTCCCTTCTCCCTTCTTCCAGGGGTGCACCGTCCATCCCAGACCTCAGACATCCCCGGATTCTACCCCCTCCCTCCCGGTGGAGTCGGACAGATCACGCCGTCGATGGGATGGTGAGTGTAGGGGCTCAGCCCCAGCCCTACTGGCTGCTCCATGCAAGGAACAAACGTGCAGCCATTCTCTGTAACCTCCACGGTGCTTTCACCCTTCTCCATCCCTCCCGTATGCTGCATGGTGGGGAGCAGGATTTAGAGTTGTTTTAAAGACATCTCTGGAGAGGCTGAAGGCTTTGTCCCAGCTGGAGTATGCTTGAAGCAGGGTTACAACCTGCCTGATTCAGAACTGTCTGCTGCCTTATATCTATCTGCCTGTGCGGATTAGGAAACCCAGGGAGAGCTTTCTGCCCACCTCTCTTAATCACACAAAAGCCTCTCTTTTTAAGTAGGAGGTAATTTTCTCCTCACTGGGGTTTTCAGCACAAACAGTGCTTTCCCTGAGCATGCCACTGGCACAGTGTAATCCAGTGGGATGCTGCATCCGCTCAGCCACAGTGCTTCTCAGGGTCTGACACACAGCGGAGCCCATTGAGAAACCTGCCCCAGGGACATGAGTTAAAAATGCATCAGTTTGTGCTCTGTGGTCATTGCCCCTGGCTTTTGTCACCCTGATGGTAAGGACATGGAGAGAGCTGGTCTGGTTACTCTTCAGGTGAATTTTCATGCCCATCAGTGACACAGGGGCCTTGTAGAAGCTTGTGGGGAGCTTGGTGGCTGCAGGCAATGATTTGGGGTGGCCAGGACAGGGGGAGAATATGGAGAAGGTGACTGTGGGGCAGGCAGATCCCCAGCAAAGCCCAGCAGAGACCTCCAGGTACAAGCAGGTATTGCAGAATGGGAGAGGTGAAGCGTATTAAAACACAAAGTAAAATGTTAGCTTTTTGGTTTGTTTTGTTTGTGAATCTCATGTTCCAGATATTTAACCACAAGGAAACAGAGGCTGAGGCCTTTGATACGGAGCTTGGCTTCAAAGAGATTACATTTTGCCTTCTGTGCTAAATCTGCTACTCTTGGGCGATGATTTAACTCCTCACACGATGTGATTCATCCTCAGGAAAAACAAGTACTGGGGTGACTGTGCTGTAACATGAAAGCAAGAGTTTGGGGTGAGGAAGGAGACTGTTTGCCAAATGCAGGGTCCACTCGTGGGGTGGGATGCTGTTGGGGGCAGCCCTGGGAAGGAAGCCTGGTTTGCACAGGTTGGTTGCTTGGTGTGAGAGGGGTTTTGTATTGCTGAGAGCTACTCTAGCATTGCAGGGGTTTGGCATCCTCAAGCAACCTCGTCAGACACGTTCAGGAGTGACTAATAGAGCAGATACAGTAAAGCAGCCAACGGCCTGGTGGAGCAGAGAGCAGCACCTCAAAGCACACGTGTCTATAACAGAGCCTTTGCTTACCCCTTTGCCTGCCCCAGATTTATGGAGAGAGCCCCAAAACCACTCCTGATGTGCCCAGTGCTCAGCTGAGGCTCACTGTGGTTGGGTGCAGAAGCACCAAAGCATAGAAGGGTTGTGGCAGCACTGACCCCCATGCAGCAGGCAGCAGGGGCTGAGTGCAGGATGGTTGTGCTGGGGATGCTTTAGCCGGTGCCATGTGCAGGAAGCAGCTTTTCCTCCAGGATCTGCTCAGAAATGGGGTTTGTTCTCACTGAGCACTCAGGAGGAGGAGCTGCAGTCACCCTCTGTAATTAACTGGGATGACAGTCAGATAAAAGCCTCCAAGTCCAGTCAGGTGAGTTTTGCTCACGGGAGCCTGGCAGCAAACATCACCCAGGAGCCTGTGAACCATGTCCCTCACCCGCTCCAAGCAGTGCCAATGCCACTGCAGCCCTTCCATGCCCATCCCATGTCTTTTTCCCCTCCTATCACCGGGTGACACAGCCGTAATCACGCATTCCCAACCATTAGGGACTGGTTTAGCCCTTGCATTCATTTGCACGTCAGACTCAGGCTGGATGAAGCCGCCAGTGCCCTTTTCTATCCCTGCATCCCAGCTCTGCAGTACCGTGTGTCGCTTCTGGATGAGTTCCGAGTGTTTTCTCAGCCCTGGGGCAGCCGCCTTTGACTTCAAAGGGTGTTTCAGCTTCCCGATGCTGGGTAGCACTTGGCTGTTTGTTGGGGTGTTTATACCCGCCGACATCTAAGGGGTGGGAGAGGGCTTCTGCCTGGCAGGGTGTAAACACAGCCTTTCCTGCACACAGATCCGCTCAAGCCAAGACACAGCAGCTCCCGGAGCAGCACAAACAGAAACCCTCCTCCCCAGCAAAGCTCAAGGGCCTGTCGTTATTCCTCTTCAGGGCAGAAACTATCTTTAGCCCTGAAAAATCCCTGGCATCCAGGAGCTCGTTGCAAGGCACTGCACTTAATGATAATGGGCTTTTTTTATTGCTTGTTAGAGCTGAAAATAGCCGATGCTGGTCTTAAGCACAGCTTTATGCAGGCTGGCTGGAGGGAGCATGAGCATGAGCATGGATTTAAGCACCCCATCGTGCCCTCCTTGGTCACCCCAGTTTCTATGCACAGTTTTAGGCTGGGAGCATCTTCTGTCAGGTTTGCAGAACAAGCCTGGGTGTTTTTGAGCTATCTCCGTATGAAAACAGGGGGGGTTCCCTCACTGGGAACAACAAGGAACTTCCTGCATAGTTATTTTACTACCTCAGGAATAATTCCCAGCTCCAGTCTGGTACATGCCTGGTCCCCAGTATGAAATGGCTTTGAAAAGAAAGGTAGGACTGAGGTTTTGGTGTGTTTAAAAATGATGGGCATCCTTAAAATGATGCACTGGGGAAATCAGAGCATTTATAAAGCACGGGCAAGGTGCTTACTCTCCATTCCTGTCCTTGGGCATCCTCCCAGTGCAGCCCATGACCATGCAGTCTCTTGTGCACCACACAGAGAGAGGCTCTGACCACGCTTTAGGGTTTTTTGGTCTAACTGTGGTCTTTTAAGCAACTCCTTCTGTATGGTAGCCACATGTCCTAATCCTTCAGCACACCTCTGCATTTTGCGTGTTAACAGGATAAGCTCAGTGCTGCAGTTACTGCATCAGGGATGGAGGGGGGGGTCATTTGGATCCAAGCTTTGCAGGGAGGCCCAGCTTCTCCCAAAATAAAGCCCAAATCCTGCGCCTTAAAGCCCAGGGGACACCAGGAGCATCCCACCAGTCAGAGCTGGGGCATCGGTGCTCCAAGTCCCCTTAGCAAAGAGAATCTTTAGGAGACACCACGTAGCTGTGGGTACTTTATAGACTCTTTCTTCCTGATCCCAGGCAGAGCCAGTCTGTCTATCCGCTCCCGTCATGTGGATTTAGGCAGCCGTATTCGTCAGCGCTTTCTGCTGGGGCTTCTTTCTCCAGGTGAGTATGAGCTGTGTGAGACAGGGCAGCAGCTCGGCCCCGCTCGCAGCTTGCAGTGTGTGCAATGGAGCTTGCAGCAGACCACGGCCACGCGCTTCCCGTGGCAGCCATGGGAAGAGAAGGAGGTTTTAGGCATTGTCTGGTCCAAAGGGTGTGCAGGGGAACATGGAGCATCCCAGGAGGATGCAGTGACTGAGGTTTAATCAGCAGAAACCCCTGTCTTCAGCTCACCATTGGGAAAATGGGGTGAAATCCATTGCTCAGGATTTTGCTCCTTGTCACAATCCTAAGCCTGAATATACCCCTGCTGCCACACCACTGAGTTTTGCTCTGCGGGGACTGATCTGTGTTACTTGCTCTCAGCCTTTGAAGCAGGACAGGCAGCGGGCAGTGATCTGCTGTCCTCCCATCAGCACAAGTCAGCTCTCTGAGACTGAAGTGCAGCTTCCACCTTCCCCATCCCATCATCAGGCAGAGAGCATGGGCTGGACCCTGCACATGGGAAGGGGTCAGCAGGAGGTGACCATGTCACTGCCTTGCTTTTCCCTGCAAGGACGTGGCCCTGCAGCACAACCTGCCTTAAATAGTGGGTGGGTTGAGCCACGTAGCAAAGCACCATTCATACTGCAAGTTTGTGGTCACCCAGGACCAAATACTGCCCTCTGTAAATACACCCAGAGCCCAGCGATGTCCCAGTGAGCAGCACTAGGGATGCCTGTGCACACCACATGTGCTCACACAGCAGCTTTTGCTTCTGCTTTGTGTTGTCCTGAAGAGCCATTAGCGGAGGTTTCCCACAGGAAAACCATGCAAACCCTTAGCCATGCAAAAACCTCCATCCATGCATCCCTGGATCCAGGCAGCCCCTTAGCCCTGCAGCAGAGGTGAGGGACGCTGCCAGCCCTCCTTACTCACTGGGGCATCGCTTTGCCCAGCCTTGATGATGAAGGCTAGAAAGGAGCTAACGGTTCCCTTTGGAGGCCATCAGCCTCCTGAGCCCAGCACAGGAGCTCCTGCTTGCAGGATTTGGGATGGGTTTTGCAGCCCTGCTGCAGCCCTAAAAGTACACCTGGTCAGATAAGGATCAGACTGTGCTGGTGGAGTCAATTAAACAGCTTTTCTTTCTGTGCCAGCATATCTAACGAACAGTTCATCTCCCATGGGCAATTCTGCCATCTCAAGCTGCAGTCATAACGTGGCAAGCTTGGCAAAGCTGGCTGCGCTGGCTTTACCCTCTGAAACTCTCGAGAGAGCTAATGAAGCCTGAAAGCTAGCGAGACCTCTCATGATCTCAGAGCCGTGTTGGTGGAGAGCGTTGCTTAGGGAAGGTGCACCTCCTAGAGTTGCAGTTCGGTTCATGTTCAGACTCATGCTGCTTCTGTTAAAAGAAAGGTGCAGGGTGGTCCTAATCTCTCCCATCCAAACCTGGGTTGAGTTTGTTGTTCCTTTCTGAAGTGCTCATAAGATATTGCAACAACAGAGATCTGAGTAGCTGAAACCACTGGTTGAAAGCACCCTTGATCTCAGTGGGGCTGGCTCCTGATCAGGCTTCCTCATGGCAGCACCCAGACTCTTTCCAGCCTCATTCCACCAGTGGGGGCAACCCAGTGCTGGTGGGCAGCTGCCTGCCCTGCACCAGCATCGCAGTACTCACGGGTTTGCTTTCCATGTCCTTTGCTTTCCCGTCTGCTTCTGCCTCGTCAGAGTGCCAGCTCGTGAGACGCCGCTCCGGCTGCCCCAGCATCCCGAGCATTCCCAGCACAGCCCTCCCGGCCAGCTCATCCGCTCTCTGTTGCAGGTTCACTCACCCGCTGATGCTGGGCTCTGGCATGCACACCACCGGCATCCCGCACCCCGCCATCGTGCCCCATTCCGGCAAGCAAGAGATGGAGCACTATGACCGGAACATGTGAGTTCATAGAGTCATGGTTTGGGTTGGAAAGGATCTTAAAGCTCATCTAGTTCCAAACCCCTGCCACGGGCAGGGACACCTTCCACTAGAGCAGCTTGCTCCAAGCCCCTGTGTCCAACCTGGCCTTGAACACTGCCAGGGATGGGGCAGCCACAGCTTCTCTGGGCACCCTGTGCCAGCGCCTCAGCACCCTCACAGGGAAGAGCTTCTGCCTAAGAGCTCATCTCAGTCTCCCCTCTGGCAGGTTAAAGCCATTCCCCTTGGCCTGTCCCTACAGGCCCTTATAAAAAGCCCCTCTCCAGATTTCTTGTCAGCCTTTTTTAGTAATTGGAATACTGTTAGAAGCTCCCCCCCTGAGAAGCTGGAAGTTGAGCCAGCAGGGTTCAACAGCATTAATGCTTTAATACCCATTTAATTTATCACTGTTAATGCTTGCGGGTGGATGAACACTGAGCTCTGCCTGCATCAGGCAGCAGCACGTGTCCAGGGTGCAGATTTCAGGTCCCCCCATCGGGTTGGTTTGGTATTGAGTCTTTAGAGCTTGGTGTCACCAGGCAGCCAGGCTGGAGGCACCTGATGCTCACAACTCCTCCTTTGGTCCTACCAAGGAAACCTCAACCAGAACCAAAGAGAGAGAAGGAAGCCAAGAAGCCCACTATCAAGAAGCCCCTGAATGCTTTCATGTTGTATATGAAAGAAATGCGGGCGAAAGTCATTGCCGAGTGCACCCTGAAAGAGAGCGCCGCCATCAACCAGATCCTGGGGCGGAGGGTAAGGACACGGGGGCTCAGCACCATCACCCCAGTGCAGCATCCCCATCCCTTGCACCTGCTCTTAAGCACGTAACAATCATCTTGCTTTCAAAACCGGCTGCTCTTATCCCTTGAACACATGGAGTCGGATGTGCTCAGGAGCGGGGTGGCCATGGTGGGATGGGCAGTGGGGGGGACAGTGGGGCCATATCTCACTGTCACTTGTCCTTGCAGTGGCACGCGCTGTCCCGGGAGGAGCAGGCCAAGTACTATGAATTGGCTCGCAAGGAACGGCAGCTCCACATGCAGCTCTACCCCGGCTGGTCTGCCAGGGACAACTACGTGAGTGGCTGCTCTGGTCGGGTCCCCTCCCTATGGCATGGGCTGCAGTGACCCGGGGTGGGGGGCTGACAACTGGGGTTTGCCAAACAACCCACCTGTCCCTGGTAATGCCAAAACAGACCAAAACCACCCCAAAAAGGGGGCAAAGATGATGCAGAAAGAGCAGAAGTCATGGGGCACCCCCAGCCTGCATTTCCCTGCAGCAGCACAATGTCCCTGCCTCCTTACAAGCACAGAGCAGGAGCTCAGCATCCATATGCAGCTTTGCAGGATCAGTGCTGGATGCTGCTGCCCTCCAGAGCTGCCCTTAGAGAAGCACCAAATGTGGCAACATCTGAAGGGCAGCAGCATCATGACAGCAAGACACCATCATCCTCCAAGATGAAGTACACCCTCCATGGAAATCTCCATCCCATAGCATCTTTCCTCTTGGCAAGGGCTGGTTCCTCTCTCCAGAAGATGCATCCAGAGGACGGTGGGCTCCAGAGGTGCCCATTGGCTCTCCCAGCACTGGCAAGAAGCTGCTTCGAGTCTTGTGGTTGTCGTAAGAGATGCTTTTCTCTCTGGAGCTCGAGCAGGAAGGAGGAGGAGGAATGTAGGTCACTTGTGCAGCACATGATGCGGATATCAGGCAGGAAATACAGTTGCTCCCACACTGAAGAAAAAGCTCACCGCAGCTCAGAGCTTTCCACCTTCACTCAAACCACAAGAAGTCATAGACAGAGTCAGAGGTCAAAGGCAGCCCTGCGAGCTGCCTGCTCCACACAGGCCAGATTTGCTCCTGTGCTGCTCTGCCCTCATGATAAGCTCATGAGGAGATGAGGGGAATTGTGTGTTGTGAATCAGAGGCAGTTTGGGGAAATAATTGGGGTTTCTTGTTAGTGAGGGGAGCAAGAAGAATGAGAGATCAGTCCAGAGCTGCAAAAAGACTGAAATAGAGAAGCAGTATTTGAATGTTAATTTCTGGGGATTTCCCAAAGCTTTCTTTCCCATTGGAAATGTGGAACACTCCTCCTGGTTATGCTATGGAGCAATTCCTGTTTGGGTGTAAGGTACCACATTAAAGGCAGCAGCAGCTTTCCCCAGCAACCCAGTCCAGCCCCAAAACCCATGTGCAGCACCCTCAGTTCAGAGCATGGCCTGACAGCCTTTCCTTTGATTCCCTAGGGTAAAAAGAAGAGACGAACACGGGAAAAGCAGCAAGATTCCAACTCAGGTAAACGTGTGTGGCTTCGGTACCCCTTCACAGGGGATAATCCAAAGCAGTTGTCATGTTTTACCATGTTTCCTTTTATTCTCCCAAGTTAACTAAAGAAATACACATGTATTTAGTTTTTAAGATGCAGCAAATGAACATTTCTGTGACTTTTCCATAGAGAACTTTGAATGAGAACATGGGTAGTATCCATCTCTATGTCTTGCCTGTGAAATGATCATTTCACCTGTTGTGGATTGAAACCCAGCTGCTGGCTGTACACAGCAGGACACTGGTGGTAGCTGTAAGAGGGAGCGTGAGTCCAGCACTGATCAAATGATCACTGACGTGCTGATCAAATCCCATTTACAGCACTAGAGAAAACCATGATGAGCCCTATAATTATACAGTAAAACTGCCACACCTTAGGAAAGGCCATGGAAAATAGCTTTTCCATTAAAACTGGAAGAGGAGTGGTGGGGGGCAGAGCAGTAGAATAACCCATGTCTGGGTCTCCTTGGCGCTAACTCTGCTTTCAGCCTGCTTCTGCAATGTTTCCTCCTCTTCTTTTCCATGCACAGTCTGAGCTCACTGGCAGCCCCATTTAGTCACTGCTGGAAAGGCAGGGAGCAGGTAAGGATGCAAACGCAGGGGGCAGGGAACACCTCTGGGATCTGGAAGCTTTTCCAGCCTTAAGAAATGTGAAGAGCCTGCAATTGCCCATATTCCCACAGCTGAAGCCATTTCCCAAACCTTCCCCAGCTGCCAGCACTGATCACTGATACTGCCTAACAATCCCTTTTTTCCAGGAGAGGTTGGTGCTGGCTCCATTCTGTTACAGGAACATGGGTTGTAGTCTGTGACTCGTGTGTTCAAGTGGCTAAAATGATGTTGCCTCTTTTCTTCCTCCTGCTCCTCCTCCTCTTTGTGCCTCTGCCTTGCCCATTCTCCGCCACGCATGCTTCTGTGTTCAGATCCTGCCTCTCCTAAGAAATGCAGAGCTCGCTTTGGCCTCAACCAACAAACGGACTGGTGCGGCCCGTGCAGGTGTGTATCAGCATCTCCTCCTGCTGGGGTGCTCCTGGGCGAGCGGGTTCGGCTCCGTGTGTCCCCCTGCTGCTCCGGCCAGGCGGGATGGGGTTTGCTCTGGTCACCATCAGTTGTTTTCCAAGCTGCCAGGGTCAGGCTGCTCCATGGGGTTTGTACCCAGGCTCCCCAGGGTGATGTTGGTGTGATGCTGTATGTGCTTCTCGGTTGATGGGCTTCCCTGCTCTTAAAAGCTTAGTTCCAGGGTGGAGACCTCTGATGCAGGGTTCTTCATCCCCTATTAGAGTTTATCACATATATAGGATCCTAGGGCCAGCAGTGAGTAGTTAATGGGTTTCTTTTTCCTGTTTATACTGGGGCTAGCCATGTATTTCAAGATCCAGTTCTTCTTGATGCTGGACTTTTGCAGTACCCACCATGGGTGGGATGGGAAAGCCTCAAGCAAGGCAGTCTGCAAGTGCCCTGTGCCTCTGGCTTGTAGGGAATGGACATGGCCAGGGGACAGTAAAACTATAGCAAAAGCTGGAAGTAAAGAATTGCTTCATGTGCTTCTGCAGCTTGAAGTGACTGAAATCATTGAGTGCACCCAAATCTGACCATCTGCAGAGTCCCAGCAGTGCTTGGCTACTGGCCTTGCTGGCACGGTGAGCTTAGGTCTGAGCTGCCACCGCATCCCATGCAGCAGCAAACCTCCCTGCTTGCCCTTTATACGCAGGGTAATGTCATCAAACAGCATTTCTTTAACTAATGAAGTCCTTTAACAAGTCACTGAGTGTCCACAGAGGGGTTTTTGGGACCCCATCCCACACGCAGCAATGCCCCATCCTGCAGCGCAGAGCACAGCTGCAGCTCTGCGGCAGTTCTCCAGCCTCTGCCTTCACTTCAGCTCTGAATCCAGCATCTCCTCCGCGCTGCTTCCCCATTAACACAGCTGCTGAAGTGCTCCGAGACCTCGGCTTGCTTCTGTGTTTTAACCTTTGCCTCTCAAACCCTGGTCAGTCACAGCTGCTCTGCAATTCCCCTGTACCTGTACTAACTGCTGCTGCTGGCTGAAGGGCTCCGGTCCTGTGTGCTCTGGTCACCTGCAGAGGTGCAGGATTTACTGAGGTTTCCACTCCACCGGGCAGGGACACCTTCCACTAGAGCAGCTTGCCCCAAGCCCCTGTGTCCAACCTGGCCTTGAGCACTGCCAGGGATGGGGCAGCCACAGCTTCTCGGGGCACGCTGTGCCAGTGCCTCAGCACCCTCACAGGGAAGAGCTTCTGCCTAAGAGCTCATCTCAGTCTCCCCTCTGGCAGGTTAAAGCCATTTCCCTTGGCCTGTCCCTACAGGCCCTTGTCCCAAGCCCCTCTCCAGGTTTCCTGCAGCCCCTTTAGGCACTGGAGCTGCTCTCAGGTCTCCCCTTCAGGAGCCTTCTCTTCTCCAGGCTGACCCAGCCTAGCTCCAGAGCAGAGCTGCTCCAGCCCTTAGAGCATCCCAGCTAAACCCCTTTAGCTGTGTAACAGCCACATCAGCCTTAGCCCACTGACTGGTTCATTATCAGCAACCAGATCTGCCTTTTCCCCTTATTACTTTTTAAATCAGATCGTTTGGTATCATCGCTGAAACTCTCCATCCTGCAGCTTCTCCTGGGATGTCTGTGGGAAACAGCTTCTCCTCGGGCTCATCTGCTCTGGGGAATTACAGCCCATGCAGAGTAACCTCCGAGTTCAATACTCGGTTCAGCAGCACTGTCATGTTTCATATCACATTAATTGGGTCACCACGGCTAACGATGATACTGCCAGCAGTAACAGCACTTCCCTTGTTCACAGCCAGTGCAAAGTCATGTTTAATACTGGGCCAGTTAATACATATTCTAATATGGTCTGGGTTTTCATTAGGAAGATCAAAGAAAGGTGTGTGCCCGCATTAGCAACTTCTCCACTTGAGCTGTTTCCCTCAAATGAGACACCGAGGCAGGGAGCAGGGCGGGAGGAGGATGTGCCTTTAGCTGTAAAGTCATTAGTACCATCCCCAGCAGAGGAATTGTTCCCTCACTGCTGTTACAGTGACATCTTGAGAGCTCTTTTGTTTAAAACTACCCTGAGATGCTGGAGGACCTGTAGCAGGTGAAGGACCTGTCACACCAAGAGAGGGAAACACCAGCTCAGCACAGAGTATGGAAGGCAGAGTGAGGCCGTGTGAGGGACTGACTGCATGGGCAGGAGGGGTTAAGGTTTAATGGAGTGGTTTGGGGTGGAAGGGACCTCAAAGCTCTTCCAGCTCCAACCTTTGCCACGGGCAGGGACCCTTTCCACTGGAGCAGCTTGCTCCAAGCCCCTGTGTCCAACCTGGCCTTGAGCACTGCCAGGGATGGGGCAGCCACAGCTTCTCTGGGCACTCTGTGCCAGCGCCTCAGCACCCTCCTTATTTTGATTTTTATTATTGGTATTATTGGTTTAGGGTTTATTATTGCTTTTATTTTTCTTATTTGGGGGTTTATTTGCTTTTCATTAGACTTGTTATTTTGAATTTTATTATATTAACTTTCTTTTTTATTCATTTTTATTCATGTTATTATTTTCATTTTTATTCATTTTATTCACTTATTCGTCGTTTTATTTTTATTCCTTTATCCTTTATGATATGACTTTTATTACTGTTCTTTTTACTCCGTTCCCCCCGTCCATCCCCGCGCAGTGGCGCCGCTGGGCCGCCATTATGGCGCCGCCTGGTGGTCGCAGCGCAGCACAGCCCCGGCGCCGCACTGAAGGGCGATCCCCGGGCGGGGTGGGGGGGCTGCTGGACTGAGGGGTCCCCATCGCTGTCCTGTGTCTGGTGTATGACCCCGAACTCGGCCTTTATTCACAGATAACTCTCTCCACTGTCCCTAGGAGGAAAAAGAAGTGCATTCGGTACCTACAAGGAGAAGGACGCTGTGCCAGCCCAGTTTCTTCCGATGGAAGTGCTATAGACTCCCCTCCCTCTCCTCTGGACGCACTCCAATGCATCTCCTCTGCTTTCCCTTCAGACAAGCTCGCAGCCCCCGCTGACTCCGCACACAGAGATCACCCCGACCCCTTCCCCGGCTCCGCTCACCTCCAGCCCCCCTCCGGCTCCTCCAGACGGACGCCCACAGAGTCCCCTCCACGCTGCGTGGCCTCCACGGGGACATAGTCCTGCGCCCCCCTCGGGGTACCGGGTACCTCCTTTCAGTGCCCATTGCCAAGGACCAGAGGCCACATTCCCCATCGCACTGTAGAACGTGCAGGGTTAGGACATGGGATGCCTTGAGGATGCTGGAAAACTCCTTTAGTTTTTATTTCTTTTGGGGGGTGGGAGAGGTGTTAAAGATAGAAAAGTGATCTCCAAAACACAAGGTAATGAGAACTTGCCAAGATTTAAAGTGCTGATGAGTAAACAAGCCTTTGTCCCTGCCCTGTGCTGCTTTTCTTTGTTTGGGGGTTTTTGGTTCTTTTACTGCATTATCTCCAGGTATGGTGGGAAGCAGAGCCCACCTCCCCAGCTTGCTGCAGTAGATGGTAGGTGCTATCACTCTAACACTGCCTTTGCTCCCTGCTTCCAAGTGTAGTCCTTCACTCACACATCCCTTGTAGCCGTTCCACCACGGAGCTGGAAAAGCTGGAATAGGAGCAGTTTTAGAAGCTGAAACTCAGTGTAGTGATGCCGGCTTTGATCCGACCAGATAACAGAGAAAAGGAGGGTTTCAGCCGAGGAAGTGAACGTTTCCAAGGTGCTGTTACAGGTAACAGGTCTCATGCAGACGTGTGCCATGAGCATGGCAGAGGGAAAGGGAGCACCGAGCACAGGAGCTGGACCAGCCCCTGGCAGGGCTGAGGACCCATCGCTCACTGCAGGGGCTGTGCAGGGGCTCCCCTGCTAACAGAGGCTGTCCTCTGTAGATCATGGTCACGGCTCCCTGGATGCTGGGTAAAGCCTAAAAGTCCTCCTGGAGCTCCCTCCCCAGCACAGTCCAGCAGCTCCTGCTCCAGGCACCCTCAGAGCCCTTCTGTTGATGCTTTGGTGGATAACTTCCTAAAATCCCCTTCCTCTGCTTTTGGATCTGCACAAGATCCTCCCTCCACCCTCAGGACGATGCCAAAGGTTCAGTGTGTCCTCTCCAGCTTGAAAACCTTCACCACTTCCTGGTGTTCTATTTATGTTTGAGCTTGACCAACACAACCCCGCTCTGGCCGGGCTGAGATCAACCTGACCCCATCTCAAGCCCAGATGAATCCAATTACTTCTTGATTTCCTTTGGGTGTACAGGCTCCCCCCACCCAATCCAGCCCAAATCATCCCCTCCTTGAAAGAGATTCCAGACCAGTGAAGGGATAAATAACACCACACAGAGGGAGAGGGGGGTCTGGTTTTTGTCCTTACTGGGGTTTAAAGTCCTGAACACAAATTATGTAGTAATATTATTGTAGAACTGCAGAAATTTATGACCTTTATAATGTACAAAAATATTTTTATATTGTTTTTCTTAATGCAAAAAAAAAAGCCACAAACCCAAATATTTACATTGGACTAAACAGAACTTTTTGAACCAGTTTATGCCTCAAAGATTGAAAAGGATTAGTCTGTAGAACAGCTTTGGGTTTGTTCCCTTTATTTAGGTAGTTTGGCTTTAGAGTAGCATAGAGTTGGGTTTAAGTCCAGTCTTAGTTTAGATCCGAACCTGTCGCTTTATTCCTCTCCTGTGTAAATGTAACTTCAGAAGCACTGAATGAAAGCTCCTGCACAAACCTGAACAGGATGAAGTCGTTTTAGCGGTTGAAAGAATCGTTTTAAAGCTTGAAAGAGACATTTTAACCCTTAGGGAAGCAGCATTACCTGACCCCATGCCTGCCGTACATTGGGCGATGCACTGATGGTGCTCGGAGGGGTGGTTAGGTCTGGAGCTCCATGCTCTGGTTTACATTACTTTGCCAGCTTAGACAAGCAGGCACCAGTGTTGAACAAGGAGCTGCTGCTCAGGCTCTTCCCAGACCCCCCCCGAAGTCTCTTTTTATCACTTGTATTTAAAACACACCCAAAACTTGCTTTACAGAACAACAGCGATGGCTCAGCTCATGCCTGTCACTGAGACCTGCAGTGTATGGGGCTGTCAGAGCATCAGCCCCTGCCAACGCCACAGAGGACAAAGCAGCCTCAGTGGCGTAGCTTAACCCAGCACTGGTGTAAAACTGTTGTAAGTTACTACCCAGTTGGTATTATGGGGTTGTCCAGAGAAGCTGTGGCTGTCCCCTCCCTGGCAGTGTTCAAGGCCAGGGGCTTGGAGCAAGCTGCTCTAGTGGAAGGTGTCCTTGCCAGTGGCAGGGGATGGAACTGGAGGAGCTTTAAGGTCCCTTCCAACACAAACCAGGCTGGGATTCTATAAAACAAGTTAGCACCAGAGGCAGGAATAAGAGAGAAAGCAAATGGGCATAAATAAGACCAGTGGGAACTGAGGGGCAAGCCCCAGACCTATTAACCTGCATCCCTAGCCAAGGAGCAGCCCTCACCCCTGTCAGCTCACCAGGGCTTTCACGTGCCGATTCCAAGGCTGCTTTGGTCAGTCTCCACAGGGGCTCAGGGCCCATCCCTACAGCAGCCTCCTCTAAGCCTCTTTATCCCATCTAATTCCCACCCAGTCCTCACAGTGAATCCCACTGCCCCTGGCAGCACCTCCACACACAACCCGAAGCAGCTATACCTGCTTTTCCGAGCTCATGCTTGCTCCACATGGGCACAGTGAGAGCTGCCCTCTGCTCCTAAGTGCTGCAGGCTAAGCTCAGACTGCCTCTCGGTGCCCTGCAGCACATTCAGTTTAGGCTGGTGTAACTGAGAACAAGAGTTCAGAGCTTCCAAAACACACGAGATAAGAGACCATGAAGCTGCCCATTGCCAAGACAAAACAGTGACTAAGAGCTGTCCCCAACACCAAAACAAAGTTACCTTGACTAATATCAGAAAGTGTCTTTAGAAACACCCCATGAAGTGTTCCTAGTTTGTGTTAATGCTCTTTTTTTTAAAAACAGAAGGAAAACTTTGCCCTTTTTTAGTTCTTTTCACAGCAATTTCAACTCTTGCTTAAATCCATCATTCGACTTCCTGCAATCAGTTTAAATGTACAAGTCCTGGAAGTACCACTTCATTAAAGCAGAGTGCAAGCACTGTAGCAGGGATCAATGTGTTGCAGCTGTACTTTCATTTGTCCAGTGACATCCACCACTTGTAAGTTTTTTACTTCATTGAATTTGTATGTTTTTGGCTTTTATGTTCAAAATATGTTTATAGCTTTATAAATAAAGTAACTGCCAGAGTGGCTCTTTGAGATGGGCCACTGGGAGTTCTGATCTGAACCTCTCAAATAATGATTTCTTGGAAGTTAAGAGGATTCTGCTGCTTCTCCCCCCCGCCCTTGATCATTTGTATGACTAGATTCTAGGATAATTGCTAACAGGCTTCAATGGGTAGGACTGAAGTAGTAAACCAAAAGTAAGAAGAAATATATGGGTTCATGTAATGGGACCTTGGGTCACAGATACAGCTTCCTGAGCAGTCCCTGCTCTCCATGGTCTGATCTCCCCTTCTCACTGCTATCAAATATCCAGTGAAATCAGGCGGATTCTCCAGTCAACTCTAGATGGGAAGAGCCAAGCATTTCCCAATCCCTGGCAGTGTTCAAGGCCAGGCTGGACAGGGCTTGGAGCAAGCTGCTCTAGTGGAAGGCATCCCTGTGCCTGGCAGTGGGTTGGGACTGAGTGAGCTTTAAGGTCCCTTCAACCCAGACTAGTCTGGGACTCTATGTCCCAGCACTGGAGTGCTTTATGCCCCCTGACAACACAGTATCTAATCTGCCTGATAGGTACAGAAGCACAAAGGCTGAATAAGCAGATGCATCCAAAGCACAGATGTGAATGCTGCTTTGGAGCAAGTTAACAAATCCTTTCATTAATGGCTACAAAGATCACCTACAAGCTGGTAAAGCATCACAATACCTCCATCTGCATTGCTTACTGTTTAATTTCCACCTTCATGTGAGAAGTCACCCACTGTGTCTGACTGGTGGCCTACATCAGTCACTAAACCAAACCTTTACATCTGTTTCACTTCAGTTAACCACCGCCTCAGTGCTCCTGTTTGTACATACACCCAGTAGCAAGCAGCAGGCTGTCTAGTTCCAAATAACTAGCACCATTTGCAAACAAAAGTTTAAAAGCCCTTTATTAATCCAGAAGTGGAACACTGATATTTAAAGTGAGATAAGTACGTTTATTACGGATCATTCTACTCTAAGGTTTATACAGAGAATGGAATGCAATACAAGCTAAGAGCACACCTCAAAGATCTACCACACAACCATCCCTACTCCCTATAAGGGAACTGTAAAAAAAACAAAAGAAATACAAATCAGGAAACCAGTTACTGTTTAACTAGTTGCAAGTGGCTTTGTCCAAGTTAAGCTGATATTGCATTAGCTCTGTATGCAATAATTAAAGTCTCTACAAGCCAAAGGTATCGCAGTCAGAGGCATAAGATTTCATATGGACACATGAAACCATGTTTTAAAGAGCTACATCACAAGGGCTGTTTAAAATTGCCTAAAACCCAGTCACTACTGACATGCACAGGTCAATAATAGTAACTTTGGTAATGTCAGTCATTTTTGGTCAAATCAGGATTCCACTTTCAACAGGAACATATAAAAACACACCAATCCTGTGCATAAAGCAACACACTTCTCATCTGCTACCAGCTAGAGGCAGGTCTTCAAGACATGGTTGAAGGATTCAGATTTCACTGTCGGGAGCTTGCTTCGTTCGAGATCACATCTTTCACTAGTCTCTAAGGCCAGACTAACAGGACAAGAAGGTGGTCAAATAGTTTCTCTTTTTCATATGCAGGACAAGAACATCTCAGAAGTCCCATCACTTTAAGCTTAAACACTAATTCTGCCCACAATGGTTCTGCAAGGAATCCAGTAGCTTGTACTTCACCTGCTTCCCCAAAACACATGCTAATTAGCCTTTCTTGCTGAAGCTGTCAATACCCTGTAAATGCAAGTGTCTTGCTCTTGAGGAAGAAGCCACAGGTGGGTTTATTTACAATGGAGTCAATCCTTAGCATTGGAACTGGACTTGAACAGTTTCAAAGTGTAATGAAAATGATAACCTGAAGTG